GTGGGGTATCAGCTTTCGTTTCACCCTGAGTTGATAGTCCTAGGCCCTTCCCTTGCCTTTGCTGCTCTCTGAGTAGCCTCCGCTAGCTCCTTTTCTTTGTCGAGCTTGGAGGAGAGTATTGCAGACGGGCTCGTCTTTTGCTCGGTGTGGGCCTTCACACTCACTGCAAATCCCATGCCTGCGCCCATTCGGGCAAGGGGCGTCGCAAATACCCATGTTCCAATTTCGGCAAGGAATTGTTGAACGCTTTGAGGGAGAGCTTGTCGAAGGTGATGTATTACTGCGCTTCTTGGAAGACGGGCCAGTACTTTGGAACATGCGCGCCAAAAGCGGCACATTAAGTTGAGTCCGGTCGTCCATGCGGAAAGGACTCTTCGCATAGCGATCGCGAGCTTCGACGTCGAAAGCGATGGCAATCGACGGGTCATGAGGTACTGCGCGAAATAGGTCAGTGACCATGCGCTGGTAGCTTTGAAGCTCTGAAGAGCGGTGACGATAGACAAGTACAACGGCAGAGCTCCAAGCTCCAAAGACACGAAGCCATTCGGATTCGGATCGAAGGGGGCGCTTAGCTGAAGCTTGGTCCTTTTTGACGAGTGCATAGCCCCCGCCGAAGTCTCGAGGCTCATCGTTGTGGTCGTACCCTTTGTCCATCGAGGCAAAGAGTTTCTCGAAGTCGACGAAGTGGTCCTGAATGACCAAGCGCCAGATAGAACGGGGAACGGGATCAGCAAGCGGCTGTACCTGCATAAGATTGACAAGGGAATCGATGGTCTTGTCTGTTCCAATTGCCTGCCGCAATTTCCAGGTTTCCTCAATGTGGGGGTCAGAGATTGCAGAGGTCGAGAGCTCAGCCAGATGCGGAGCAAGAGTGAGAACAGTAGCAGGCAAGGACTGGGGGGTTGAACGTTCGACTCCGAGTAGTTTTGCGAGATCGTCAGCTGAGAGAAGGGTCGTAGAGTCGCTGGGGACCTGTGAACTCGCCAGTCGAGAGAGCTTAGCATTGAGGACGGCCCATGCAGCGGTGTCAACCGCTGTGCGACGATCAGCGGCTTCTCGAGCGCGAACCTCTTCCAGGAGCGCATCGCGTCGGGCGCGAAACTCGACCACCTGAGCCTCGTCAAGGCCTTCAGGAGTCGATTCTCGGGCTGCTTGTTCTCCAGACTGAGTGTCCGGCTGTTCGTCAGCCTCTCTGTCCTTCTTTTGCTGCTCCAGTCGTTGGGTAAGTTGTTGCAGGTAGTCTTCGCCCTCGGCTGGAGATGCGCCTGCGTCTTGGAGACGTTTCGCAAAATCTGAGAGGGGCAACCGTCCTTCCACGACGTCGGAAACGATAGCCTCAAGGGCTTGAGCACGTTGCCGAGTTGCTTCAGCGCCAACATCGGTCATTGAAAAGGAGATGCCGGGTGAGGTCGAATAGTGAGGTGTGACTGAAAGAAAGGAGGTTGGATGGCGAGGGAAGCGAGCAGATGGCCAGAGAAAATCTGAAGAGATTCTGCAGGAGGCACGATACGTGAGTATTGAGCTGAGCAGGGTCTTACGAAGCTTCTTACAATCCGAGTCTAGCAGACGAAGTCTGAACCAGAAGGATGTAAGAATGTGCACAAAGCTCAATATGAAGAAAAGGCCTCACCAAATGAAGAGTGATTAGAGTGCGTTTGTAGAAAACGATAGGCGGAGCCTAGATGCGAGGATCACTGTTCATTTGGATGAGTATGCGGTGCATAGAGGGAGAGAGCGCGGGGCGCTTACCTGTGCTGGATAGACGTGGTCTGAGAGAGAGAGAGCCAGCACAGGAGAGGGAAGCGACACCGATTACTTCTCCTAACCCAGCATCTGCCAAACTTTGGCACTGAGTCAGGGATCGATGTCGCGACCATGATTGATGAGCGGGGCTCGAGGGCCGGAATAGGCCTGAGTGTGACATCTCAGGTCCAGTTTCAACACAGCCAAATACAATTCAAAAAAATTCACGCTGCAAAGCATTATGCAAGGCACTGTATGCAAGACACTGTACATATCTCAACCTCCAGAAATTTTGAAAAAATGTCCTCACCGTCGCCATCAGGGTCAGGGTCTTCGCGGTCATCAGCCACGCCGGAGCCTACAATTTCCGTCAAAAAAACCTCAAAGAAGTCAAAAGACAAGGGGAAGCAAAAGTCGTCAACGGGACAAGGGAAGAATGAGGGTGTTGACCAGAACTGGGCATACAAACCACCAGCGGGCGCCGTTCTCATTGAAGAAGATGTAGATGCGGGAGAGTTTGATTGGGACAAGGTGAACAGTGACGATGTCGACTTGTGGCTGATACGTGTCCCGGAGAGTGTAAGTCCCGTCGAAGTCATGACTGGACAGTTTCTCATCCAAACTATCATTACAGGTGAAACCAAAATACCTTGAAAATCTCCAGGTGGAGGTTCCATCATCGTCAAAAAGTACCCGAATCGGCACAGTGAAACGGAAACACGCGACCTTCGATATTTGGTCTATTGGCGGGGACGACGACGACTTGCCCATTGGCGGGGAAGAGATCAAGAGCATTTCATGTCTACTACCGAAAAAAGGTAAAAAAGGGAAACTATACCCCGGTATGTCATCATTATCTTCCTCCACTATCCTTGACAAGATTAAATCCAACGTTCGTCAGCACCCAAACCATTCGCACGTCACCTCGTCATCGCCGCACAAGCCGTTGTACCCTCACCCATCGCCCCTTCAGAATCAGGGCCAGACCCAGAGACAGGGAAATACAAGAGCGTGCCTCGGCAGCGCTATCCTACGGAACTGCTGAAGCATAGGTTTATGCCTTATGGTTCCGTTGGGGGCGTTGACGAATCTGTTGTGGGCCCTGCGAACGCAGGAGACGTGGCTATGGATGTCGATGTCAAAGAAGTTGCGTCGCAGAAGAAGGAGAAAAAGGTGAACGACAAGAAGAAGGATGAAGCAGTGGAAGAGAAGGATACCAGGAAATCACCTGTGGTGGAGACGAAAAAGTCGAAGGGTAAAAAGAGAAAGGGCGAGGCGGAAGTTATAGATACGCCAGCACCCAAAAAATCCAGAAAGGCGAAGACATGATGTGCTTTATCTTTTATAGCCTTGCGATAGGATTCTTGTTCTTTCTTTTGGAATCAAACCAGCTGCTAGACCCCAAAGTAAAAATTAAGAATAAAACGTCAAAACAGAGCAAAGGAAAAAAAAGTAATCAAAGCATGATGCAGTATGTACAGTATAGAAATAAATTACTGCGGGTTGAAAAGCCCTAGTACGACGACGGCGCATGGCAATAGAAGAAAACCCGTTAAGTAGGATAATAGTGAAAGAACGACAGGTGGAAAAGGTCATCCAATATCCATCTCGTCCCCCCTCGCCTTATGTTTCCCACTCCCATTCCCATGGCCGTAATC